AAATTACACAGCCTACTTTTAATTCTTCTTTTATTTTACAGTAGTTTACAAAAAGTGAAACAAATTGTATAGAAACATGAAAGAAAATAAATTAAACGTACGTCCGTTCATTTAGTTCAATATTTCGAAACCAAAATGTTCAAAAGTAACAATGGTTATTAATCAATTTTATCAAAAACTTGCAATGATTTAATTCAATATTGCAAAATCAAAAAGGACTAGTTGAGTTGGTCGGTCGGAATTATCTGTTAATGATATCATGTTCGCTACTTATTTAGTATTAACCGATAACACTCGTCGCTGTGGAAGAAGATTCATTCGACTTGACGGGGCTATCGTCTAAGCGTCTCCTTAATTTTGTCCTTTAAGGACCCGATGGCCTTTTATTTATCGTTAGGGAATTTATACAGTGAGCGTAGGATCCGAGCGTAGTTCGTTCTCCGGGGATTATGCACTCCGTCAAAGATTCAAGAAAATATCTGTTGTGAGGATGGTACCGGAACGCTCGATGTGTGCTGCTGCTGCTGCTTAGATGATGGTCGAAAACAGTTATTGTATAGGTGACTGATGCTCATACAAAACAGTCTACACCATAACGGCACTTTTGTTGCTTTTATTGTATATTACATTAAATTATTTCGATTAAAGATATTGTTTGTATATAGCATTATTCACAGTAGAGGTTCGATTTAAGTGTTCATGGAAAAGCGATAACTCCTTTAATTAATACAGAAAATTCTCATGAGCTACACTATTTACTTTTTCATTGCAACGTCTATTCAAATTATGATTTTTAATTTGTATATTAATGATAAAAACACCTTCTTTTAAATATGCTACGAAAATTTTATTATTTTCGTCATCCATCTTCATTGCCTTACTATTTTGAAAAACTACAGTAAAATTTGTTTGCATCGCCCTATTGATTTACATAAAATTGGAATGTAATTCGGATACACAGGCGTTCATGTTCAATTGGTGAACTTTGTCTTCACGACTTTCATACCGATTAATACACAATAAAAATATTCATAGCAGATTTTCCGGAATTTCAATGTCAATGCATTTTAACTTATCCACAACCACACAAAACTCGTTTAATTGAGACGGACATGTTTTGAATCTGAAAAGCACGAGTTTTTCGAAAAGATTAACCTTACGGGCAGGAGCATATATTAGTGGGACCCATAAGTAATCAATTATTTTGCATTCATAGACAAAATGTTTTTTTTGAAATGATCTTTTTATTTGAAAGCGTTTAGGTAATCACTGTCGTTTGCGATAACTTGTTGTCATCGTTCCTGCAAAAGTTCAACCCCCCTCTTGAAAAAGTGGAGTGGACGTTACTCAAAATATATCTCAAGGTGCATTTGGACATCGGATAAGAAGTAAAAATTTTTATTTCGTAACGAATGCTCCAGTGACCTGAACAGATGGTAGTCCGACGGTGGTAGGCCTGGAGAGTATGGAGAGTGCGTAAGAAGTTCCCAGCCTAACTGCTTAATTTTCTCTGGAGTAATCTTCGCTGTATGAGGACGAGCATTATCTTGTTGGAGTATCACACCTTTTCTGTTTACTAAAGCTGATCTTTTTTTTTCTACGAGTGCGGATTGTAACCGTTGTCAACAGTAACTGTCTCCCCAGGTTTTAATAATTCGTAATGCACTATCCCGGAATAATCCCACCAAATACACAATAACACCTTCCTCAGGGATAGGGATTGTTTATGTGTTGGAAGAGGTCTTTCGTTTGCAGACAACCATTGTTTCAGTCGCTTTATGTTATCATAAAGGATCCATTTTTCATCTCCAGTTACGATCCTAAGCAAAAATGGATCTCTGCTTAGTCTGGTGAGCATGGAATTACAAATTGTTCGCCGAAGATCTTTATTGGCCTCAGACAACAGGTTTTGAAGCCATTTACCTTGTCTATGTACCTTGCCAATTTCTTTTAAATGCCTTTGTACGGTGGACCAGGTAGACCCAAGGCTTCTTGCTAGTTCCTGTATAGTTAATCTTGGATCGGACTCCACTAGAGATTTTAAGGCGTCGTTATCGAATTGACCGGGGCGTCCAGTGCGATGCTTATATGACAGGTCATAATCACTTACAGCAAATCTTCTGAACCAACGTTGACACTTGCTAAACTTCAACACATCTCCATATATGTCGCAAATTTTGCTTGTTGTTTCCGTGGCACTTACATCGGCGTTAAAATGGAAATGTACACAATTGCGAACGTGGCTCTCAGAAGGTACAAAATCCGCCATTTTACTACAGGGCTACAAAAAAAAATTTATTTTGCTGGGAATAAATTACTAACAAACTGGTTGAAGAATAACACAAAAAAAGTATGCTTACACTTGTCTGGTTGTCGCAGGACTAATGAGAAATGGTATCTTGCGAAAATAATTGATTAGTTATGGGTAACCCTAATATTAAATTTTTGAAACATTCCATTAAGATTTCGCCGAAACATAATTTTTTATGTGTATTAGCTCTGGCAATATCACTGATAAATTCAGTATTTTTTTTTTTTTTTTTTAATTGAGGAGCTGTAGTTGTTAATTTGCTGAAATTTTATTTTTAACTCTATAGCAGGATTGGTCAAGCCTTTTATTTTAAAGTCGATTTTCTTTTATTAATCTTTTCTATAAGGATATATACTTTTTTCTTACGATTTTCTCAAAAAAAAGGTTTTTATTCCGTTCGAAGAAGTTCTAAGAAACTATTTTTGACGAAAGTCCCGAAATTTTAATTTCGTTGCTTTTATTTGAAAGTTATGGTTTATTTTTCTACTTGGAGCAGGTTTTTGTTTCGTTTTTAAATTACAATTTTTTTTTTTCCGACTTTTTCCGATTTTTTCTTTCCTTTTTAAAATTATGTGAGAACAGCAACTTTCTTGTAAACGACCACAGCAGTAAACACTTCGCTTCACTCCTCAAAACTCAACTAACTCCCTGACACATCAAAAACAATCCCAAAACCTACTCTTTCGCATGATTTCTTTTTCTTCCTCTTTTTTCTTTTCCTTTTTGTTTCTTTGCGTTGCTACATAGCGGCTAGCCGCTATTCTTGCCAAAAAAAAAAAAGGAAATGAACCGCAAAATCATGTCGTTATTGCTAGGTTCTCGGCTGACACGGACCGACCGACACCCTACTCTAAGTTTGTTCGTGGACGTTACAAATTCTACAATACCCAATTCTTTAGCTAAATCACTACTTATAGATGGTAATGTATTATTATTTAATTCTATAAAAGTAATGTTATCAACAACTCCAGACTCCTTAGTTGTATGCATCGTTACGTTTATCTGATTATTAACATCAAAATGCATATTAACAATTTTGAAACGGATGTTGTCGTCTGATTCTCATCTTTTTTCGCATGTTTTCCGGCCTGGCTCGTCGGATGGGGGGGTGTCCAAGTATCGAATATACAGACACGTGTTAGGCACTTGCCTCGCTACGATATTTCCTTATTTTGGAATAAAAACATGCTTATTGTGAAATCTGGTAAAAAAGCTTTAAACCAATCCAACCCATGCCCTGACCACCTAGCCTCTACCTCGCCTCTCCGCCTCCCGCCGGAAGTCTTACCAGTACTCTTACCTTTAATAACAACGCATTTCGTTACTCTCCCTTTCAATGTTTTTATAATATCTTAAGAACACTCTCAAAGATTTCCTTTAAAAATTATGCTAAAAATCCACAAAAAGTAAAATCAAACAAAACCACTCTACGCCATTATCCAGAACCTTTTTTTTTCTTTCTTCCGAGTTCCCCAAGTTGTTCCTTTTTTCTTTACTCCTACACGCCGCTTGTCGCTTTTTCCAGATTGCCAAGGTTTTCCTTTTTCTTTCCTTTTTTTTCTCTCCCCACTACAGTGACTGTTACAATGAATAATATTTTGTAATTTATTATTGACTGGCGCTGCCATTGTCAGGTTTGTTGAGCATCGTAGCCAAATCACGCATATCATTGACAATAATACATTGGCTATTGTCATTAATATCACGTGTATTGGCATTAGGTATATATCATCTTGCTTATTTTTCCATTAAGCTTTGCGACATCCATTTTTCCAATACGTTTTTGTTTTGACTCATTCTTGACAGCAAAAGGGTCTATAACTTTTTGGTTCTTTTGTAAATCCTTAGGTTGTGATAATGATATATTACAAGAGTTATGTGTAATTGTGGCGACGAATCTGAATCCACAAACAATTGGACAATATCCCAGCAAATGTTTTCTAGATATGCAAGAGCACATCTGATAAATTGGTTTATCGGGAATTAAAATTTCACGGTTATCAGTTATAGGCACTGTTTTTGCTAAAGGCATGATACGAGAGCGACTAGTGTTTTTTTTTAGTGCAAGGGCTTTTTGGTCTAGAGCTTTCTATATCTCACTCGCATCCACAGCAACTTGTATCTCTACAGGTGGCCACAGAACGAAGACCGTTCATTTGGATGGACGACACCGAATAATTTGCAACATTTTTTTAGTTTTTCTATGTTAGCTAACTGGTCCGTCATTTTCATAGTTAAAATAAATTAATGTTAAGCGAGAAAAAAATGCTATTCAACGGTTACGCGAGGTGCACATAATCAATGCAAGTATATGTAGAGGACACCGTAGTTCAATATGTTTCAACAAATTTTTTTCGAATGATAAAAAAAAGTAAACACTACAAATGTGTTCAAGAATAATATAAACATTTTACGTAGTTTACTGTATATTTATTTTACATCCAATATTTTCTTTGTTAATTTTCATTTTATTTCTTTCCCTACGCACACAGCGTACGCGATGGGAATTTTTTCTTTTTAACTTAAGAAAAATTCCTATTTGAATAAATAATGCTCAGATAGCTTCAACGGATCACGTAGATGTTCTTATCTTCGGTGAGTTTCCTTCTCTTTGCTATGCTTTTAAATAAAATTCTTTGGTATTCCTATTTCTCGTATATTGGAGACCGTATACAGATTCCATATTTTAGCTCCTAATTATAACAAAGCAATCCAAGTTTAAAATGTCCTATTCAAGATGCACATGGATAACGTCAACGTCTTTAATGTCCTCAATATATCGACTACAGACGTTATTAATTTTTAGGGTCATTTGAAGAAGATAGATAGAAACGTCATACTTCGTTTTTTGTGAACTTCGCGAGGCATTTTTCATTATATAGTAAGGATACGTGTTTATCATTTTTTGTATAACAATTAAGTGTGTAATAACCATCTCTGCGTGCCTCAATATTGAACTACTGGCTTTATTATTTTCAGGGCTACTTCTAAGTGCAACTTGAAGAGGATCGGAGGATGTAGAGATGGTCACACGTGCCCTTGCTGAACTGGCTGGTTTGGGAGATAAAAGGGGTTTTAAATTTTTGTTTCGCGGCCACTCCACAGACGGTTACACTTAAAAAAAATGCATGTACTTTATTTTTATAGGAAACGAATATTTTATAAGAAAGGATGAACGGAACATGCCGAGAACGGGTAGATCATAATCCTGTGGGCCATTTTATACCCTATGAATTGTTTGGTTCGAATTTGAATTGTTGAGTCTTGATATGCACACTTTTAACATTGTTGCTATACAGTAATATAATTCTTCACATTTTGATCTATCTTTTCTTCAATTTTTGTTTGTACTTTGTTGAAAGCATCAAAAGCACTGTCTAAAGCTTTGAGCCTTATATTTAACTCATCTAAAGAAACGCCATCTTGTAACACTCTCTGAATTATTAAATTTTTTAAAAAGGACGTTGTCAAATTCTTGAGAGTAATTTAAGTTCTGTTTCTTTACCCGGTGGTGCTCTCACTAGCCGTGCTATAGAGCCAAAAAGGGTTCAAAGAACAGCAAAGTCTTTTGTTTCCATTAAAAATTGCTGCAGCTTTTGCCGAAAACCGGGTCATGTTATATATCGCTGTTCTGATTTTTTAAGCTTATCTGCTGCTGACAGATTGAACAAAGTACATGCACTTAAACTTTGTGTCAATTGTCTTAAATTCAAAAAACATAATTTATCTGATTGCACCTCTAAAGGTCGTTGTCGCACATGTGGCAAAGGTCATCATTCACTATTACATTTTCAACGCCCGCAAGTGGCAAATTACACTGCTTCAAAACATAATCAAATCAATGAAACAAATCATATCGAATCTGCAGAAAATGCAAATTATAACATGAGTGATCAAGCACAACCTAAAAATTTTGCTGCTTTGAAAACACAACACACAGAACGAAATATACTAGCTACAGTAATTGTTTATATTATATCGAAATACAACCAACGTCTTCCTTGTCATGTTCTATTGGATGGTGGTTCACAAATTAATATGATTTTTCAACGCATGGTTCATATGATCGATCTAAAGCGTCAATACGCTCCAATTCCATTTCAATGTGCAAATAAAACTGTGGGAACATCAAACTTTTGTATGTGTAATAAAGCAAGAAAAGCAAAGAAAAAAGAAACGAAAAAAACCAAAATGGTATTGCCATTCACGATTTCGTCTGAACACTGTCACGGTCTTAGCCCCTTTCGGCCGGTAGAGCATATAAATATATATATATATATATTTTTTTTTTTTTTTTAGGTAATATATAATCAAAAAACAATAGCAAGAGCACTTATTGACGTTCACCCTTCAACTCTCAGATCCCAACTGCCTAGAACTCAACTCAACTTAAAACTATCCCCTCTGACTTAAATTTTAAAACGCAGACAGACTTCTCCTTCTTACTCAATTTCCCTCTTCTTCTTCCTGTTGCTCTCTCTATAACGGCTTGCCGCTACTCTCACAAGAGCAAGCATAGATCCCGCAAAATCATACGATTTTGCCTATGCTCGCAGGAGCAAAAGGAAAAAAAAGGGGAGTACCGCAAAATCATACGATTCTGCCTGTACTTGTAAGCAAGGAAAACATAAAAGAATAAAATAAACATATACCGCAAGATCATACTATTTATTAGCGGTACCACAAAATCGCATGATTTCGTCTAACGGCATGCCGTCATTCCGCTCCTTGCGGTTAACACAGACCGACAGACCCCCTACCCAAGGTTTGTTCGCGGCCGTTACAACACTTACCATTGATCTTCTCCAGCTCATGATTTGCAACGGAAGACCGTGAATGTGGGTCCTGAAACCCTTATGTCCACTTTCCTGTCATAATCAAAAAAGTTAAGATTTAAAGGAAATATTCAATGTAGGCATTTACTAATAGTGTTAATAATTGTAGGGAAGAAGATTTTCGTACAGATAATTCCTTATATTATATTTTTTTTATTTACTTTTTGCTTCATGATAAATTAACATTTTATTGTTTAATAAAAATTTCAAAACGACATTTTTTTTGTCTCCAAGTATGGTGTCCAGTATTTTTGTGCAGTGTATAATTGACAACCCCGAAGTTGGCATCTCAGCTACTCTCCAATCGTAATTAAAAAAAAAAAAATTGATTTAAATGACATCATTTTAATTTCTCGGTGGTATATTGTAATAAATTAAGTTTGTTGTAATGTTATGGAATGGAATGACAGAATCGCCATTTTATTAGTGTTTTTTCCGTTGTATTCTGTTTGCTTCTCAATAAATTTTATACTTTTCCTTAACCCGCACTGTTTCACCACCGTTTACCGAATGAATTCCCCTTTACTCATACTTATGTTGCCATCACGATCAATTCGCCGCAGTTTCTCTCTATCGTTTTTTTTTTTCGCTGTGCAATGGACTTCGGTTGTGAGACTGCGGTACTTTCCTTTACATGCGTTCTTACGGGCTTTCAAATACCCGTTGTTGTTGTTGCGTGTACGCAACAAGCACATTAGGAGAGTACGTTTACTTGATTGCTTGTTAGTATTTGCTTCTTTTTCAATAATATGACAATTTTTTACTTTTGCATGCAAATCATGCACGCATTCCATGTAATAAATTTTAGTTAGTTGTGGGGAACGTAATGAATGTGTTTGTGTGTAGTGGAAAGATTCTCTATGAATGTTTCTTCATGAGAGTCCTTAGTGTGGTTGTTAAATATATTTCTGTTCTGCTCGGCTTCAGTCCGCCAAGTTTGTCTACTTCTACTACTTAGTGCCAATACTGTGATCGGCTAGAAGTAGTCCCTAGCAAATTCGTTTAGGCGGATGGAACGCTTTTTTGTTCTTAGCGAATAAAATCCTATATTGAATTGATTTATAACAATTGACATATAACATATGACTTTATTAAATTTTGCACGGCTATTTATACTAAAATTAACAAAATACAATATTGCTAGCGTAAGCATAAAATAATGATATAATTGTGACGGTTTATTTTAATTAGGGTGTCTAGCGTCGTATTGCAATTCTCAGCCAGTTGAAGTGTGACACAATTCTTGTTTTCTTTTTGCAAATGAATTATGCTGATTTTGCATAATTCTGTCGCACTTCAAAGTGGATGCATACAACAACAAGCTACAGAAATTTACTGTATTATAAAAAAAAAATGATCACAGCTAATTTGATAATACACACATTAGAAATATATATATCTGAAAAAGATTAATGCAACAACAACGAAAATGTAATATTAAAAATTATGGTGCATAAGTTTGTCTGCTGAGACTGAGACTACGTGTAATTACGTTTAGAGCTGGGGGTGGATTCATTATTAAGTCCACCACCCCATCTGACGGGTGCAAATTAAGTAAATACGACTACATTTTTGTCTGTGCACGTATGTTTGTTTTTTTTTTTTTCAATTTAATAACATAAATATTTACAATCATATATATGCTGAAGAAATATATGAAACTTTACTAACTTGAGATCGGTAATTTCACTTTAACATCGGTCACATCATGACATCATGCCGCTGGATTCTGAGTCGATGTGGCCTGGGTGAGCAGGAAATCTTTTCAGGTATCGTCAACTTCCATCAGCACGAGTATATGTTCTTGTCCTCCCCCATAACAGTAATGATGAATAGAAAGGAAGAACCATCTCAGCTTTTGCTTTTCTTCTTTTAATAAAAAGGCAAATTTTTTTTCTCTTTCTTTATAATAAATGTTTTTTTCCACTTTTATTGTTGTTTAATGTCTTACAAGTTAAAAAAAAAAAAAGATCAAAAAAAGGGGTTCTCTTGTTAATTTGTTTTCTTGTTATCTTCACTTGTCGTCATTGTAAAGTTATTGTTCTTCTTTTTTTGATCGACTATTAAAAAAAAAAACATGAAAAACACGCCTGCCGTTTCGATCACATTGCTCTTTACGACTCCATCCTATTTTTTGCCTTGATTTGTTCTTCTATGTGTTAGTCAGTATGTGGATCCACGTATGAACATATCATTTGCTCTCGCAAAAATCCATCATTATGTACACGGACGGACCTTGCCCTCGAAGTTTGTACGCGGACGTTATAAGCGGCTATTATTTATGATGATGTCAATAAAAATTATGATATTTATGGTATTGTCGCGGTTATTGGAACTAATCGACGTTGTTGAATGTAGTGACTACGAATTGTCTGCTTGGCAATACATGAACGCTGAGTATAAGCTACACAATGATTGTGATGATAGTCAAGTTACATTGTATTTGCAAAAACTGAAGTCAAGTACGGTTGTTAAATGTATGTATACGTTTGTGGCATCGCTACCTCCTGACATTGACAATGACCTCATCACTTTAACGTAGTTATTAATGTGGCTTAGCACAACAATAACATAGTTATTCCAACTGTCAAATTATTTTTTCTGTATTTATCTTTCTATTACATCGTAACTGAATGTGATGAAATATTTTTATTATGTGATCTATAGCGATGTCATTCAGTTTTAACAATACATTTTTTTTTTTTTTTTTTTGAATAAATATATTTACGCCAATATATTGTTGCAAAATGCTCTTGTTGTATTTCTTGAGAAGGTTTGCATCATTAGATCGTGAATAGCGTATATTTCCTGTATAATTTTTAGAAGCAGTATTTACAATGTACTAACAATTTATTAATTTTTACAACATTGTTGACTTGAATTTTCTTTTCGACTGACTCGACTGGCTTACAATTGATTCGACTGACTTTCGACTCTCCCAATCGTTTTTAATCTTTTTAGTCAGCCGCTAGCTGCGTGATGCGCCATAAAATCTACAGTTGGTTTTTCCTTTCTTTAGAATTTAATTTCTTAGAAAACCGACTAATTTTCATGAAACTCAAACATGAAACATGACATATTCTTAAAAAATATTTAATGTACATAAAATGCGGAATCAATTTTATCACCTGTGGATAAAATTATGTGCCGTATGTGTAGCTTCTTCTCTTCACGACAGAGATGCTTAAACTCCTTACTACAGGGCTGCATCTGTAACAAGTCCTACATGAGACAACTACGTTTCTTGGACAATTTTCGCTTTACAACCGATTGTCCCCGTCAGAAAGCTGTCTTAGCTTTGTTTACGTCGTATAAAATATTTATCCACGACATTCTCTAATCATCGTTAGATGCACTTATCTGACACAATTTTCTATCATTTTTAATTTTCAATCTTACTAAACAAAGGTTTAGTGTATATTTTTACAACTAAAGAGTTGAACACACGATGCAACCAAAAGGTAGACCAGAGTTTACCACCCGCTGGTGCCGTGGATAGCACGCCGCCTTTCCAGGAACTCCACGGGAAAATTTATTTTTTGGGGAACATTTTCGTTTCGTTAGTTAATTCACTTATCTAATGGTTGTTCGAGAGGTAAAAACACAAACAATTTGATGCACCAGATGTTATGAGATCCATATGGAAGTTCTTTATTGTTTCAAGTTAACACCGTTTGTCCGGTTGTTAAAAGGAAAATTAATATTATATGTAACGAAAGAACACATGTTGATGTATTGGCTGCCCGGTCCAGGCAAAGGAAAAACGAAAACGGTCGACTCGGACGATCGTTGAAGTCATCTGCCTTGGTTGTTGACAACGTTATTTTTTGGCAACCTTATCGTATCTTAACTAGAAAACTTCTGTTTGGGTTGCCTCACACCCGTTGTTCCTTAAGTCAGCTTAGTATACATTATATTTAATTATTTTAATTTTGAACTAACTTGACTTAGCAATCCTCCCTCTGAGACGGAGAAGATGTGAGATCCAAACGAGAGACATCTTTAAGTCCTTACAGTATTTTCAAGTTGTAAATAGTTCCACAAATTCTTCGATCTTTTTAAAACTTTTATATGTCGCAATTTTCTTCACTTTTGTTAAGTACCGAATTTTATGTGTAGATTGATATCGTCGCTAGTGACTGGTATTTTAATAAATAACCGATTGTGGAAAATTGTCCTGAGTCTGCTCCTATTAAACAACGTTTTATCAGCGTGCATACTATGGTGTGTTTTTATATCAACCAACGCTGGGAAAGTGATATTGTCCCTTCGAATGCTGGCATATTTCATTCCTGTGTTAGTTGAGGGTATTTCGTTATGTTTTCGAAGAAGGCATTTGCTCTGTCCTGTTGCATTGCTGTGGGCCGGTTGTGTGTACTTTGGATGGATTGATGCCCGATCCCTTGCTAAATGAAACATTTGTATTGGTCGCTTTTAATATAGTTGGCGAAATGGTCGTTGTTGTACGTTTAATTGTTTCTATAACCATTTACTTGGTTTCTAGGTTTATTTTTGAGTAGACAATTTTTTTTTAAAGCGTTCCACTCTTTTTATTGATATGTTTCATAAATTTTTATAAATTTCATTCAATTGAAGTTAAGGAAACAAAGTGTATGTGTGTTGTTTTTGTGGAGTGGATAGTGGATTGTTTTTAAATTTGATTTTCATTATTGTATTTGTTTGAATAGCGTTCTGATAATCAAGGATAATATTAATACCTTACCGAAGGGGCAGATCATAAGCCCTGGGCCCTACCTTTGGTCTCCTTCGGCCCCATGACTTGCAATGGAAGACCACGAGACTTAATAAACGTTTCAATTCTTTAATCCCCTTGCGAGAGTTCAACTACATGTGAGACGCACACGTAAAAATTATGTATAACATTTCTTTTTTCTATTATTTTCCCGTCAGAGGAACTTTTTATGATTGATATAACGAAATGCATATTACAACAAGACTATTTAGTTCACTGATATAGTGATGTACACGTCCAGCTTATCATTATTGCGCTCAAACTGACTGGATTTTCGTTTTTGCTTGGTTTAGCTTACCAACGGCGTATTTACGTTTAATTTAATAGCTTTTAATACACAAAGCTTTGTCACTTTCAACGTATATGCATTTGTGCATATATAACCGCAAAAACTTCAATAAATTGCGCATCAGAAATGTTTACCCGCGTTAATTAGGTCACTGCAAATCTCCTTTTGGAAATATATATATGCATATCCCTTGTGCAGTTTGTATATTTCTTATATCGTTCCTGTTCGATGTGTATATGCATACAAAAAATAAATACATTTTCTTATGCGCTGTTTTTTTTTTTCTTCTCAAAAATAAACTTACGAACAATGTTTTCTTTTTTGAATATAATTAAATAATACCTTTTTGACTTCAGGTGAGTTCATTTTTGTACAAAGTCAAATTCTAATAAACTTGACAATAATAGATCTTTATTTTTCGTCCGAAGTTCATATGAAAATTAATAATTTAAAATTCTGAAAAATTAATAGAATTTACATAATCGGTTGTCGCTTCGACCTTTTTCTTTTCTCCTGTTCAATCATTTAAATATTTTCTTTTTCCCATCAAAATTCTTTGCACACGCGTTATATCTCTGGCCTCCAACCTCATTCCTCCCTTTCTCTTCTTCCCAAAACCCACAGCAAAGACTTTCCAACGTCAATCATTTTCTTACGAGTGAGATTAACGATCTCTCTCATGCAGGGTTGTATTTGCATCTGTAACAAATGTTACAGATAATAGTATCAAAGCATTTTTTATATAATTATTTTTTACCTTCATTCGTTCATTCTTTGATTTCATTTTATTAATATATACATATTTCTTTATTTTTTCTTTTTGCAATGTGTATGTAATACTAATAATCGAAATGTTTACACTATATATAGATGTGTATAACAATAGAATAATAGAAATATATATATATAAAAAACCTAATGCTTATTCTGGCTTCCGCTGGTTTGCTGTTCCAGAGATGTTGTGCACGTAGTAGTGAAATATCAAAAATGAAAATGACGGTGCTACATGGTAGATGCCGAATGTACTTAAATTGGCTGCTGTGTTTATTGCTCATATGGTTCATATGTAGTAAATTTTTTAATAACATTTAATGCCAATTTCAGATTATAATGTGATGTTATAGATGCTGTGTATAAATGCAACTTTCAGATTATACTTGTTTATTTGCTTACGTCACAAAATCGAACAATCTCCCTCTTTCTCAATCTCCGTCCTTCTTCTTTCCTACCGTAGCATACTAAGCATGCTCAATGGGCTCTTATCGATATCTGTCTAGCTCGCCGAACGAAATTTTGCCCTATAGAGTCTTTATAAAGTTATAAGATTTAAGTGGTTGTGTAGTGTATGTGAGTGTGTTAAGTGTTCGCTTACTTCGCCAGCCAGTATCAAAACAACATAATTAGTTTACAAACATTTTATTAAGGTGTTATTGTTATAAATGTCTTAACCTAACAGTGTCAATTGTGTATCAGACTCAAAATTAAGATTACAATAAAATTAAGAATTATAATCTATATTAACAATAAAAATAACAACTCACCGAAATCACAAGACCAACCGCAAACCGGCAAAAATGGTCAAAAAACCTCCCGGCATTAAACACTTTCTTGTGTTCCTGTCAGTGCACGATTGTAAGCTTTTTCAAAAAAAAAAAAGGAAATGAACAAAGATTGCGAACCTTTACCTTTATTGCCTCTCGGGCCCTACTTGAAATATTTGCGCAACAGAAATTTTGCGTAACAATAGGTAGTCTGTCAATCTGAACATTTTGTTCGCTGTTGTGTGCTAACAAGAAAGAAAAACTAAATTCTGTCTCTCGGACACTGCTACTGGGTCATACCCTACCTTACCGGAGGTTTTTTTTTCTGTTTTTTTTTTATGT